TACATTCTAAGGCAAACTTGGCTTGGCAGGCATGAACGTCGAAAGTGGCGAGGAGTCACTCGCCAACATAGAGCGCACGTTTGAACTCCGATTGACATGAAACTTGGCGTGCTTACATATCCCACTAATATGCATCTAACTCTAAAGCCGCTCGTCCAGACGGAACCCCGACTTCTAGGGTCGTGGCCCGGGGCCCCAACTGGCCCCCGTTGAGCTTGTCACCGACACCACTGACATTGTCTTCGCCTTGCATTCTGCATGTGCCTTCCCTAGGCATTCTTGAGCACATCCATATGGTGTGTTAGGTGATGCACCATCCTCCTTGGTCGCATCACGGCACTTCTCTCTCGGCCCTCGTCATGACCCGATGGGCGACACATGCTTGTCGCTGACACTTGCACACTACGTGGGCGTCACAACCTACTCTCTTCTAGTATGGTTGTGACAGCTAGCATCCCCAGACATGCAAACGACATGCTGGTGTGGCAGCCATGGCTAGTGCGGGTAGGTGGGTGTGCACATCCCTGATATACTATAATTTGTATTCCATCCAATAGAAGAAGAAAACAAGGAAAGCAGGGAAGGGGTGGCAACTGGCAACCTTCCATAATAACATGACTGATTATAATGCGGTTGCAAAATAAGTAATCAACAATATCATTTTACATACCAGCTTCTCCAATATTGTTCCGTTTGTTTCAGTTTTGCACGGTAAGTATAGCTGCACCATAAATTCAGATATTTCATGGAATCAGCTAATCATGAAGGTAAATATGAAAGAGCTTTTAGTATACTACTCGATGAATTATATAATTGACTAAAAGTGGCCTACCATTTCTTTGAATCATCGTACGTAAGTGTAGAGGGAATTGATACACGGGCAGATTCAACATTCCTCAAAGAACCTCCTTTTACACTCCATTCAATCTACAGATTCATGCATTTTTCAATTCGTTAATATGGCCAGTAAACTCTACTATAATAAGCTGACGAAGACATCATTTTAATATAATAATAGGGCATATCAAAACGTGAAATTCCACCTACAGTGTAAAGGCTGTGTCAGATTAGAAAGAATAATTACAATCTGTTGACGTTTATCTAATGTGAATTTTCCTACAGCTGCTATTAAAGAATTACTTACATAAAAAAAATTAATATAGAAATCCAGTGCAGATTCAGAGACAGAGATACAAAGAAAAAGATGGACATTATATTAATTTTTCCCTAGTGATTACTAGCATGCACCCATCGTTAACTGTTCACCAAGTAACAAAACAACAATTTCTAAAAGCAAAACGTCTAACTAGAGGCAGATGGTGATGTGCCAGTGCCACTATTAAAATTATGATTTATGCAATTAAAAACATTACAACTCTTTTGATTAGTAAATCTGATACTTTAGATTTTTACACATGGTTTATTCCATTTAGTTCATTATTTAAATTTATCATTCAAATAGAACAAATTAATTTCATTCATTCTCTAAACAGAGAAAACGTAAAATTCATTCCGTCAGATAAAACTTAGAAGAGAACGTTTAAAAAGCAAACTGTCCAAAGAACTAAAACAGTGCCAAGAAATAAGTGCCACCTTGGAGAAACAAGAAACATGTAAATATTGTTCCAGACCAAGGATAATAGTGTACCGCTTTCTCGATGCTAGGAAAATGTTGCATCCTGTTGGATAAGATTTTTTGCATATGAATCAATGAAGCCATGGCAGTTCCCTAAATCCAAAAAAGGTTGCAGAAAGGCTGAAAATTGCTTCAAAAATGAAATTCGTAACTTATTGTGATCCAGGAAAAATACCAACATTACAGAAAAACATACCTCCACAACGTCCACAACTACTAGACCGGCTAGGCTAGGTAATGCTTTCTTTGCAGCAACATGTACAGCAACTGAACCTCCCATACTTTTTAAATCATTCCAATGAGCGTATAAATTTGATTAAAATTGGGAGCAGAATTTTCACAATTATAAATGATTAATAGAACTAAAAGATGATCAACTTTTTTTGTTTCACAAAAGAAACAGTAGATGTGAGTACTGGAGGGATGCACCTTATGTCCTATCCACCTAAGTAGCACTCACATAAAACTTAGTAGGCAGTCAAAATAAGCAACTACCAAATTTCTTCAACAAATGAATTACATGAATTGATACCGTGTCCTTGAGTTCTATGGAGAATTCATACTGATACCTATCATACTTGATGAACAATATAGAGTCAAGTATTTTACAATGTACAAAGAGCCGTAAATAATCATCCCAAACTCTGCATTCTTCATGGCGCCATAAAGAAAGTACATGATCTAAGTGATTAAAAAAAAAAAAAAGTGGATCCATATGGGTGTCTATCTGAAGATTCATTTTTAGCTTGGAGGATTCAATATTATGCCATATACCCATTCTTCTTTTTTCTTTCCTATTTTTCATTCTCGACTATGTTGGCCCAAGAAATATAAAACTATGACAGATTTCCAAGAAATATAAAACTATGATGGATTTAACACCTTTCCTTAATCACTATCGATGGTAGGTTATGTAGGCACTATTTGGTCATGAGCAAGCTTCAAACTAGGTGCTTTTGGAAATATTATGTGTGTGAATATCCCATGAGTTTTTTGTATGTATGGAGAAGAGAACCAAGCTCATCTGTTTAATCATTGCCCCTTAAGCCAAAATTTGCAGAACTCTCTCTAAAGAATTCGATACTAAATGAGCTCTTCTAATGCATTAGCAGATTGTTCAGAACACATTTTACCTTTTCAAGGGAAACGTCTCCTGGATTCCAATGCTATAAAAGTCAACCTTTGGGAGATTTGATTAGGAAGCAACCAAAGGGTTTTAATGAAAGAAGTAGAGATTGGAAATAATACGGGTGGGTGGTAAAAGATTCCATGCTTCATCCGTGTCTCTCTCAGACTTATTTTGTAACTATAGTCCTTCGTCAACAATCCAAGATGAGGCAGTTTCTCGTAAGCTCTTAGCCTGTTGGGACTTTCTGTACACTTCTCATTCTATCCTAAGAAGTTTCCTGTTTCTTATTTTTTATTATTCTTTTCTTTTAAAGGACAAAACTAACTAGCTAACTAAAAGATACACTACCTGTGACCAACAAGCACAATTGCAGGAGGTGAATCTCCATACATGGTCTTTATAACTGCCAAAACATCATTGCACATAGTCTGCAAATTAAATACAACACTTCATAAATAGCTACCAAGTTCCCAGCACAGTAGAAAACTTAAGAACTACAGATAGCTGAACAATCATTGAATAAGCATATAAGTACCTCAATTGATAAGTCAAGATCATTCTCAGAAGATGATTTTCCATGGCCTCTGAAGTCCATTGCAACTACTCTAGCTTTTTCCTTTATTTTACCAGCTGATAGAGCAAAAGAAAGCCTAGTGAAATAATTTTTGACAATTAGCCAGGTAAGCGAGAATTATACTACAGATGAAATGCAAATTATTACCTAAATGTGTAAAGGAATGCTGAAAACAAAGAGCAAAAGAAATTAAAATATCGACATAATTAACCGGTACACATAAGACATGCATATCACTAAAAATATGGAAAAGAGATACATTGAAATTTGAAACACAGAAAACTAGATTTGGAAAAGACACATTTTAGGATACCCTCACTAAAAAGACATGACTGAAGCTAACAGATGTGAAACTAATGCACAAAAAATACGGAAAAAGAAAAGGACTTCATAACTAGATGGCCAACTGACTTTCGTTTTCTTTTCCTTTTTTTTCTTTTTTTCTTAGGGTGGGGGTGGATGGTGGGGGGAGGGGGGATGTGAACGGAAAGGAAGAGAGAGAGAGAAGGGCCAATTTGCCAAAACAGCTTGAAGTAAACTACCAATGCATCATCTGATATCTATAGGACCTAGATTTGTGGGCATGGGACTCTGGAGTCGAATAAAACAAAAATTCATATCATCATTCGATAATGATCATTTTTTCTTATAAGAAATGGAGAAATTTTGTATTAATCAAAAGGAGCTATAAAAAAGGGGGAGATGAGATATCCCACTAAGCCAAAGGGTTACAAACCCATCCCAATTGGTGTAAATATGTAAAAAAATCATAATTTCACAAAAATTTTTGCTGAAGTACAACAAGTTGAGGTATAAATTCTAGTAATATCCCAAGATCTTCAATGGTTGAATCCTTTCCTTCGAATACCCTTTGGTTCCTCTCTGGCCATATTCTCTAAACCATAGGGCCACTGCGTGTGCCCAAATTTCTCCTGCCTTCCCCTTAAAGGGAGATCCAACAAGAATTTCAGTGAGGGCATCTCTGCAGTCCTTTGGGCAACACCAACTAATACCAAAGAAGGAGAGCATATTTGACCAAACAGAGCTATCAAACGGGCAAGAGAGGAAGAGATGGGAGTGCTTTTCCAGGTTCTTCCTGCACATAACACACCACCAGGGTGACAAAGACATCTTTGGCATCTTCTTTTGCAACCTGTCACAAGTACTCAACTTCTCTTGACTGAGAATCCAAAGGAAGACCCTCACATTTTTAGGGACATTGGATTTCCAGAAAGGATTAGCTAGGCCAGAATTAATAACTTGATTCTGACCACTTATTTTGGGCACCAGAGAGGTAACTTTAAAAGCCCCTGCATTGTGGAGGTCCACACCTAATAATCCTCCTGATTGGAGGGCTTCTTAACGCTGATAATGTCATCTAGCAAATTCCATTCCACAATTTCTTGCTCTTTCAGGTTTCTCCTAAACTGAAGGTTCCATCCTTGGAACTCATCAGACCATCGTTGACTGATTTTGAAGCCTTTCGAATTTGCAATGTTATAAAGCCTTGGAAATCTCAAGCAAAAAGAAGTTTCCTCATGCCACTGGTCCTCCCAGAAATAAATTGTCCCCCTTTCCCATCATAAACTTGTACCATTACTCACTTTCAGAATAGCACTTCTCAATGTCTACCCCAGGGTCCTTAATAGGGGGATGGGCTTTTGAGAGAGGGGACCAATCCTCATTACAACGCTGGTATCTGCTGACAATTATTTTCCTCCACAATCCACTGGGCTCCTTCAAAAATTTCCATCCCCACTTTGCTAGAAGGCTGATGTTCCTTGCTTTGAGATTTCCAATGCCTAGACCACTACTGCTAATAGGCAAATAGACTAAACTCCAACGGACTAAATTTCTGCTCCCATTTTTTGAGTGACCTTTCCGGAGAAACTCCGTGATAATTTTCTCCAGATTGTTGATAATATAGGAACTACCTCAATTATGCTTGAGAACTCCCTTATTCAAGGTAAACCCCACAACAATAATAAGAATAACCCCAATACTAATTGATGAACCAGCCCCAAGATAGCTAAACAGATTTATGCTTGAAATATGATCAATGATCAAGAATAAAGGAGGACTTGTTTATTCCTATATTCAAGATTTCGAACTCTTCACAACCTGATTGATCAAACTAGATTGAAAGTTCTAAACATGCATTCTAAACACAAGAATACAAAGAAAGTTGAATGCTTGAGAGATATTAAACTTAGTTTCTAAAATTTCATTCATCAAATGTTTTCTTGTATGGCCAAGTATACATCCCTATTTATAGTAATTGAAAAGACACAACTCTTGGCCAAACTAGTCTAAATTCAACCAACAACCTTTCACATCCATACATGACCTTATTAAATGAAAATACATGAATTTAAATGGTACATAATTCATTAAATATAACAATGAATTTGGATTTTCAGATTCATTAAGCTTATTGGTTGAAAAAGTGTCTTATCTTGCTTGAATGGATGCAACTCTTCACCAAGTGTGAACATAGCACTGATATTCATATCACTTTCATTAGGCCTTTTTTTTTTTATAATAAACGTGAAAGATGTATTACTCACAAAAAAGGCAGAGTTACAACCTAAGGGCAGGGGCAGAGGGAGCCCCCTCACGAGGAAATTAACTCAAGAGAGATCTCCAATCTTGAAGAAATGAAGTAAGGGAGTAATTACAAAAGAATTTGCAATAAGTTTAGCACCACCTAGAAGCTGAGTTGTACAATGCTCCAAAAATAAATAAAGTCTAGGGAAGTATATCTTCAAACAATCTCTGATTTCTCTCTAGCCAGACGTTTCACATAGAAGCCCATGTGCGAAGTTCCAAAAAATTCTATACTTTGGCTTCAGATTTCCACCTACAAGGGTCTGAACCAACCAATCATCTGCTGCCTTTGGGATGCACATACTAATATTGAAGATATTGAAATGGAGGGACCAGCACTTGTAGGTGTAGGGACACTGTAAGAAAATGTGGTCTAAAGATTCTTCATTTTCGTTGCACAGAGGGCAAATCGAGGGAGAAAGGGCCCAATTTCTGCATTTCTCCCGTAATCTGTCCTGGGTGTTCGAACTCCTATGAGCCACCCGACCAGAGGAAGACTTTTATCTTCTTTGGATAATTAAACTTCCAGATGGCTTCGAGGGAGGCCACCTTTAGAGAACATCATGCGTTTCCATTTGTCTAGCTTACTTGCAATTTTTTCTTCCACTGAAACCCAAAAACTCTGTTTTCTAGGATCTCCTCCCACAGGCATCCCAAGATGGCCTAAAGGCCACTCTCCCACAGCGCAGCCCCACAAATGAGCCATAGCATCAACCTTGCTTTCTACGTTTAAATCCATTAAAGAGGTCTTACTCAAGTTAACTTTCAGCCCATAAATCATTTCAAAGAGAATAATAGTTTTGCACAAATTACTGCATCATCACTAGCGAAAAAGAGAGTATCATCAGCGAACTGAAGGTGGTTAATGTGAATAGAGTTTCTTCCCACCTCAAAGCCTTCGACGAGACCACTCTCATAGCCTTTGACCAAATTCGAGCTAAGGACATCTGCACCAAGCACAAAGAAAAAAGGAGCAAGGGGATCTCCTTGTTTGAGCCCCCTAGAAGCTCTAATACGCCTCAATTAATAAAAATGGAGAAAGCAGTGTTGGTGATGCAACCTCTCATCAATGATATCCATCTTCGCTCAGGCCCTTATTGTGCAGCACATCCAGTAAAAACTCCCAATCTATCATATTATAAGCTTTGCCGAAGTCAAGCTTCACAACCCAACCCCTTTTATTCTTCTTCTTCTTCTTTTATTTCATCAACTATCTTATTGGTAATTAGGATGGAGTTCATAATCTGCCTTCCTGAAACGAAAGCTAACTGATTCGAAGCTATTGTGAGAAGGACTCTTTTGAGCCTCGAAATGTTGGTTTTATGTATATTTAGTAACTATTTATTTATTGCTTTTTATTTTATATTAGTTGTAATTCATAGATTATTACCCTAGTTTCCTTATTTAGTCATGTGTCTCACCTCTACTTAAGGTGATCTAGGGTTTTGACTTTTACCTTGTAATGAGAGAAAAGTTCCATTTTCTCTCAAAATTGACTGAAACGAAAATTGACTGAAACGAGGACCTTCACCATGACTTTATAAATGCAAGTAACTAGGCTTATGGGTCTGGAGTCAGCCACCATTGTAACTATCACTTCTTTTTTGGGATGAGGCAAATATGTGTTCCTTTAACACACGAGTTAAGGATGCCTTTCTCAAAAAAATCACTGAACACCTTAATAATGTCCTCTTTGATCATGTTCCAAGATTTTTCAGAAGCTCCCCTGAGAATCCATCCGGCTGCTTTATTGGCACCTAACCCATCTCCAGCTGCTTTAATTTCTTCCCCAGAAAAGGATTTTTCAAGTTCCATACTTTGATCTGCACACATGAAGTGGACCCTACAATTCTTTGCGTGCAGCTTCAGACAGGAGTCTATAAATTCCTCAGTAATCTCGTCCTCTTTTGTGAGGCTAACCCCATCTGAAGTCTGAATCTCCACTATAAGGCTTCTCTTCCTTCTGGAGTTTGCAATATTATAGAAAAAGGAAGAATTTTCATCACCCTCATGAAGCCATTTGCATTTAAATTAAATGGTTGAAAGCACTCACAGAAGGTCTTAAGTCTTAAGCTAAAACTATCAACATTGTTTAATGGCTAAAATAAAATTAAATTGTAGATCTAACAATCTATAAAGTGAGGATGCGTTTTTCTTAGAATGGTATCATTACTACATTTGGAAGATCTAGAAAATAAGCTATGGATCATATCTCCATTCTGTAATGTTCAGTTGCTAGATAACCAAGCTACTTCTAAAAGTAGCAGACAGATTATGTCAAGCCTGTCACGCTTGCAATCTACTTTACTAGCATTTGCTATTAAATATGGGAGTCCATGTACTTTAAAGCCCCAGAAAATTTAAAATGAAGAGAAAATATAGGAGTAAGATAGAGATAATCACACACCCAGAATAGCCTCCTCCATGTAGACAAAATACAACTGGTCCTTCTTTTCCCGCCATATATACATGGAAGACCTAAAAGGATCATGCCTATTAGGTAAGAAAGAACGATTCCCTGAAACTTCAACTTCTGTGTTGAGATGTACACTTGTATGCAAGTGTTTGTGTGTGTTTGTGTTTGTCTGAGTGTGTACACTCTTGGGTGCGTGAGAGAGGGATGAAAATTAATACTAACGTCGTTTGAGTCTGGAATGGAAATATCATCCTCTTCGTCGAAATAATCAAGCCAATCTAAGGGCATGTACTTCTGTGAAGAGTTCCTATAAGACAAGACATGGAATCAAAGACCAAATCCAATCGCCCAACAAAGTAATTGTATATTTATACCCAAAAAAAATATTCAGCTCAACACGAACTTCATGCATTCACATTAAAAGCAGAAAAAGATAATTGCATGAAATCTAAGAATAGAATGAATCTTGTTCTACACAGTAAAGGATGAGCTCTGTTCTCGTAAATTTTGGTATACATTAAGCACTAATATCTTGAATTAAAAGAATCCGGGAAACATGATATAGGACGTAAAGAAATCTACGGACACACTAACTGATACAATTATCATTTCAGCTTCTTCCTAGCAAGTTCATTCCAAAAAGATTCTATGCCAAAAAAAAAAAAAAAAAAAAAAAAAACTTGCTGCTGTATTAGTTTGTTATTTGTTTCCAATATATTATAACCACAAACTGCTTTCTATAAATGTGTCGAAGGATACTCCATGCGTTCACCTCGATGTGAATACGACAATCACGTTTCCAACCAGGAACTAATACCAATTAATACCAAAATCTCATAGAAGGAACAGCAATAAAGAAAGTGAAGGCATTTCCATATGTTCACAGATCACTCTCTCTCTCTCTGTAATCGATTAAGTTCTAAAAACTTCAGCAGAAATGAAACATTAGACATTGAATGCATGGTGTGGAGACTCACATGGTCGGAGGACGATCGGGTTTTGAGGCGAAGACCGATTTCTGATTCTCTTGTCCATCCTCCGAGAGCGAACCGAGGGGAGAAGACGATGATTCCATAGCTTGCTTCCAGATCAATCGATTGCTCACTCTGGAAGCTCAATTCGATCACTTTATTTCAACGAAAATCGTACAATGTGTTCCAGATTGCTCTGGGTAGAAATTTTACGAAGAATCTCTGTAGAAGAAGTGATGGGGAAGCACGGTTCGGATTGGTTCGATTTTAGCAAAGACCGAATGCTGAACCGTAACCGCGGTTTAATCGAATGAAATATTTGTTTCTCAGACCGAACCGATCGGTTCAGTTCGGTGGGATTCTATTAAACCGATCTTTCAATAAATAATAGGTTTAAATTATATTTTGGTACCAAGATTTGGGAAAATATCATTTTGGTCCTTTCATTTATTAGTTTTCTTTAGTACAACATGTGAGGATGGGGGAATCAATTTTTCGACCCCTATGTACTACCCCAAATTAACTATAGAAATTTAATTGAAAACTTTCGAGCCAAGTGAATATATATATTTTTTCAAAACAATAAGAACAAAATTAAAGAAACATATGTTTCAATTCGTTGCCAAAACAAAATTCCTTTTATCAAAGTTTTGCGATCTCTAACTCCTTTTATCAAAGTTTTGCGATCTCTAACTTTCTTTTTGTCTAAAAGGTCTAACAAATGTCGAAGTTTCAATTTTAAAAAAATGTCAATGTGGATTGATATTTTTAAAAAGATTATCAAAAAAATATTTAAATTAACAAATAATAATTTTACCATTTTAAACTTTAAAAATTCTTATAAATATTATTATGTCTACATCAGGGACAACATTTTGTTTTTCTGATATGTAAAATGTTGGCTCACACCTTATACTAGCAATGGGTACCCATAAAAAAGGGAAATGTTGACACATACGAAAAATATTTATTCTCTAACTTGTAATCACTTTAAAAATCTCATCAAAACTAAATATAGATTTTTAATAAATTATTATATACTAAATTCAGACTAAATGGTAACCAATTTAAAAATACATAAATTATAATCATTACTCAAACAGGAGTACCGACCAACCAAAAGTATTTTAACCTTTTAGTTTTATAAACTCTTTTTTAACAAATTGCTTTATGGATCCGTCGTGCTATCTTTTTTTTTTTATCAAATTTCCCTAATTAAACACGTTAATTTTTTAGTTTGATGAACAATATTTCCCCAGAAGATTATCGGAATCGCTTATAACATACATAAAAAGAGCAATATTAAATAATAAAAGGTCGAATTTGAACATGAACATCATCAATAGTATCATGATCCCAAAATAATCTTTTTAAACCGGATTACATTTTGCATCGACAACTTCTCCCAATGCATCTACAAAGTGATTAATTGATCAAACTTCAAATACTCGTGAGAAACCCAGAATTTTTACTTTTCAAAACATCCATCAAGATCTTAATATCTATTGGTTTGTACATCAAACCACATTTTTCTACCTTCAATCTCTTGGAACTCTCGGTGAATTTCAACAACTCGTGAGCATTGAAACTAGAAAAAACTTACAATGGTTAGACTGCTGAATATAATTTAAATCAAATCATCTCAATTAATTCATGATGCAAAGGAAGATTGAGTAAAAAATGAGTCTTTCAAATAGTGCATATCATTGCATTAAAACTATGGCAACTAAAACAAAAGAGAAGCTTGGGCCAGAATTATAAACTAGTCTCCTCATCACCAAAAAACAAACCAGTCCTCTAAATGAAAAATAGTTAAAGCAAAACTTCTAGAAGATGTGACATTCTCATAAATAGTGATAGATAAGATTTATCTTGATGAGGAATCGAGGTTAATCTCAGTTACCTGAGATTTTTGGCTAATCTTAATCATCGCATATGATTAAGTTTAGTCAATAACTCAATCTTCATCTTCCTCATCTCCATCTCCACCAGCAGCCTTCTTGGCAGCCACCTTCTGGTTCTTTCTCTTCACTCTTCCGGGGCGTCCACCTCCGAACGGACTTGTGAGAGAGAAGTCAATGTGCTTTTGAGAATCAACCCTCACCATGAAAGAAGGGATGTTAACCACCTGCCTCCCAACCCTAAGACGACAAATGTGACAGATGAAAACATTAACAACCGATGCTTCAAAGGCTCCAAAGCCAACATAAATATCAATTGAGCAAGAGTATATTTTAGACTGCTTTTAACTAATAAGCACTTGAGTTAAAAAGTGTTTAATCACAAATCACTCAAGGTTTGGTTAAGCACTCCACCAGTGCTTACTTACAAAGCATTGCAACTGCTTTTAACATTCTTCCAAAGCATTTTTATGTAATTCTCAAAAATGATAACTTTGAGTAAGTGTTTTATATATTATAATGCACTTTTAACCATGTCATGAAGCACACCCAAACATAGCTTTTAGAGGACAGAAATAAATGCAGAACAATACTGTGCTCCTTATTTTGCAAAAGCAGCCAGCAAAACAACTTTCAATTCTCAGAAAAAATATAGTTGACAGTTGATCATCAACCACAAAGCAAAAACAAAGAATTAAAACAGTCAAATGGAAAAAAGAATGTTATTATTGGTATGAATTAATAGAATGCAAAAGTACATAAACTCTGTATAATTCTTCTGAGAAAAAGATAATGAAGCCACTCTACCTTATATGCCTCTGCCTGATGAGAACTCTAGCATGGTGGATAGACTTTGCCATACCAGACTTGAACACAAGAGTTTGGAGACGACGCTCAAGGAAATTCTCCACAGTAAGAGCCAAGACATAATCAAGCTTGTTCTGGCTCTCGTCCAAAAGACCGTACCTGTTCATCCTCCTCAGCAGCGCCTCTCCCTCAAAAATCCTACGTGGGTTCTTTTCGTCGAGTGTTAAAAGCATACGTGCATTGTTACGAATTCGGCTCAGTGCGTATTGAACCCTCCATAGCTCCCTCTTACAACGAAGCCCATATTCACCAACCAATTTAAGCTCAGCATCCAAACGCTCCTTCTCATAAGGGCGTCGGGGTTTCTTGAAAGTCTTCCCATCTATAGAAATTAGAACCCACAATTCAATCACCATGGCTCTCAGTAAAACCACAAGAATCAGGCAAATCATAAAGCATTATATTCAAAAAAATGAAGTTTAAGAGGTTATAATCTCCATTCCATATGGTAACCAAAAACTAGAAAGAAAGAAACAAGCATGATAACTCCTCTGTATCCAATCTCACTGATTTTACAACATGCTCAACAATCGAACAAGTGAAACATTCGTTGGCATCCAACTGAAAAAGGGTTCCAAAACTCATTAATCAGAGTCAAAATCTGGGACTCTATCAATTTTAGTATGATCCTAATGTAATTAAAAACCGCCGGTTCTCCCAAGTTGCAGATCAAAGAATGACGAACAAGAAACGAAAAAAAGTGGCGATGAGAATAAGGATTCATAGCGGATCTTTGAAGAGATTGTTGAGCGTATACTTACAGTTCCTGTAGAAGGAGACGTGGACCATGATCTCTTCTCTGTCACGGCTTCAGAGGAGAGCGGCTAGGGTTTTGCGAGATGAGAATTGGAGAAGAGAGTAGGAGAAGAGCAACTTAGGGTTTTCACCATCTTTTTTTAAAGCGTATTTGAGCAGACTGGGCCGGTGGGCCGCATAAGAGAATATGGAATGGGCTGCCAGAGGATAATGATTTGGGCCCATGCTAATATACCTAACAACGGCATTTAGACCACAACTGATAATGATAATGATTTTAGTAAAAGACTTTAATTACACGTGATTGTAAAAAAAAGAGATTTAATTACACGCGATTCTATAAAACTGATTTTCATATAATTATTTTAACGTTTCGTTGCACATTTTACCATTTTATTTTTATATAATTAAAAGTGATTTTAAATAAATAATGGTGTGTTTGAAAGTCATTTTGATATGGCTAAAATCATTTTTACCGTTATCAAAATCACTCTTTTTCATTAATCATGTTTGACAAATTAAAAAATTTATTTTGGTCAAGTTTAAAATCAATTTTATCACTCATTCTACCATCTTTCCTTGTCAAGTAGACCCGAGGTGTGTAGAAGTTTGTCAATAATCAGAGTGTCGACTTTCCTCCCACCTTTGAAACGATCTTTGTAGTAGTACATCAAAGATCGGCTCTAAACACACCCTAAGGTTGGATTTCAAAAGTAATTTAATCACCAAACTACTAAAAAGGCTGTTATTTTGAAAAAATTATTGAACACTATTTATTAAGCAATTATTATAGAACAATATTATATATAGTTATATAACTAAATGTATTTAATTATTACTATAATTAATACCATACAAATTAATTTACTATTGCATAAATTTTACTAAAATAAATATCAATTTTTAAAATTTATTAATTTTTTTTATATCTGTGAGTATCCGGACCAGCTTACGCGCACCTCAACTAATCTCACGGGACAACGTCTAATCCTACAACATTTGGTGTCAAGAAACACATAATAATTACTAATTCTTAAGGTGGCTATTATAGGGTTTGAACCTATTTTCTCTTAATTAAACTGGTCAATTTTATAATTTACTTTAATTTTAAAAAATTTATTTGTATATGCTCCCTTTCCCTCACTATTTTGGTGGGGCTATGGAAAGAGTCAATTTTATGAAAGATATCATAAAATTGATGAATATTTTTAGAAAAATTATAAAAAAAATCATAAAAGAATGGAGAACGCTAGAATTATTATGGAGATAGTGATTTTGCATAAACTATAAATTCTAAAACCCTAAAAATCTAAATCCTCCAATGGACCCATAATAAATCCAGCCCAAATTCCTCATTAATAATCAGACATTATATTTGGACACTGGAATTTACCTTTATGTCCTTAAAAATGAGATGTATTATTGTTGATGTTGATGAAAAGTTAAATTAATTAAACAAAAATAATATCAAAATAAATTTCAAATCTTCGTTGGTATTTGTGATTGATTTTTAAATCGTTACTTTCCCATTTTTTATTTAACAAGACGATGGAATCGAACACAGTTCAACGATAATTGACATATATGTCTAACCAAGAGATCGTGAGTTCGATCTCCCACCCCACATGTTGTGATAAAAAAAAGGTGATGTCACACGAGTCTGTATCTTAATATTGTATTTGCAATGTACGTCGTTCTAGATCTGGTCCAAGATGAACTATGTAGGGGATTTATTGAAAGTTGAAACCATTGAGTTCAGAATATGGTAAAGTGGCTCCTAGGTGGGAACTACGCCTTTGATGAGTGTCGCGATGGGTCTATTTGCGATATTCTTATCTATTATTTTTGAGATTTATGATTCTTTCATTTTACTAGACCAAATTTCAATTAATCAGATTCAATTCACAAGAACCCCTAAATAACTTTTCGATAAAAAGTAAAGTATTTAGGTTTCCGCTTTTTAGCCCACTCTTTTTTGGTAGTTCGATCATGTAATTTCTTTTTTTTTTTTTTGGTATTTACAAAATATGAGTCGGAGAAGAGGAAGACTTTAGACATAAAGGTTATCCTTAACTAGTTTAGACATCTAGTACCTTAATCCTTGGTTGCAATTGGTTTTTGTCAAATTAAGGCTTTTTATCAATAAACAGAAGCGACTTAGAACTTTGAGATCTCTTAGACGTAAGTAGGTTAAGAAGCATAATCATTCAAAAACAGGAAGGTGTGTCAAGCGTCTAGTGCTATTCCTCATACTAAGTCGAAGTAGAAGGTCTGGATCTTTCATACTCGAGTAATTCAAAATCAAAACCAACAACATTTCACTTAATTACACTTCACTCATCACCATCATTTTTAAAAGATACATTTTGTTGAAGATACATTTTGTTCCTAAGAAACAATCTTGGAATACTCTTACAAATTACTAGCTATTTGTGACGAGTGTGCACTTACACTCTAATCTTTTGCTATTAAGCAGAGCCGCAAACACAAATTCTTCTACCCAAATTTTATCTAAACACCAAATAAATTATTAGAATTGTTGATGTCGATTTCTGAGTGAGTGTCACATAGGTACCATGAGGTATCACGTATGCCATCGTCTCCTAGTTCTAGGTTACCTGCACACAAAAATCTCATACCAGTAGAGTGCTCTGTCTAATGCAATATGATACTTAAGTTATAAGTCAAGGTGGGAGCAAACATGTATGGAGCAAGTAGAGTAACAAAGTAGCAATCTCAGGGTGAGAGTCTTACTTGGGAGTGTGTGTCGAATTCTTACAAGGAGTTGTGTATGAAAATTCAGCTTACCTAGATTAGGGTTTTCCCTCTCATTTATAGGGAGGGAAGAAAGATAGAGGGAGGGAGGGGTAACCAATCTAATTGGGAGTGTGAGGGCTATTTTCGACATTCTGCGCCATTCCTCTCTACCATCCCAGAGTGGTGCGACAACATTTAGGGTACGCCTCTAACATCATGCCAGTTTGTCAGCACCTCTAAATCGTATTGGGGGCATCCATAGAGTACGCTTGACCCTTCTTTTCGGTGCGCTTTGCCCACCTACTTCTAGTCCGCGGAGTTCGATGTGTTCCCACAGGGGTTTCTACATGGTGGTATGTTGTTGCCCCTCAAAAATAATAAAATGAAGTCTAACTCTAAAAACGGCTTAAATAACACCAATTAATGAAACAAAGGATAAACTCAATTGATTCAAATTTTAGAGCAATGACTATTGTTATCGCCTCCTACTCTTACTTCAATAATAATTGAAATCCCGTTACTTGTAGTCAAATTACCATATTACTTGTAATGATTTGTACACTTGCAAAAATCGACCACCAAAATCACGTTGGATTTGGTCTTTTGTTGAAATGTGTGAGTATTGACAAGTTATACATGGTTATTGTGCATTTATCTCTCTGGATTTCATTAAAACTAATGAGGTTTGGAGATTTTGTACATTGATCAAACTTAATTTTGTGTAAAGGTTGATTTTATTGAAACTAACTAGTGAGTTTTTGGGGATTTTGTGCTGGATCAAACTCAATTTCGTGCAAAGCTTGATTTCATTGAAACTAGTGAGTTGGGGATATTTTGGCAAAGAATTAATGGGTTTTTGGAGATTTCTACTTGCTTTTTCTTAAAATATAAGGTGAATTAAGGTGAAATTGAACATATGATTGTACTAGTGAATAGGAAAAGTGGATTGAGATTCCACATGACGGATGGAGGTTGAGGATAGAACATATTCGGTGCCCCCAGCTTGGCGAATCGCATCCCCGCACAACGCAGCGAAAGGCCTCCCTTTCCTGTTCACTCGACCTTTCTCTGAGGTTGAGCCCAACTGAACGAACCTGATGATCCACATATAGTTAAAATTATTAGGTGAATTAAAGGTGAAATTGAAGACATGATAAAATTTGCAACCATTATTTAAGTCCATGGTCCAGTTAGATGAAATTGAGAATGAAAGGTGGAAAGTTATAATTTTACCAAGTTAGTGGTAAAAAAAATTCCTTTTTTTTTTTTTGCTTTATAACCTAATTTCAAATTTAAGCTAAAAAAAGAGAGAATGGTCTTCAAAAACCTTTTTAGAGTTGAAAAATTAGATATAAATTGTTAATGGATAAATTTATTTCAACTAAATATATTTTATAGTCTCTATTATTGTCTCGGTATTTTTAAAATTTAGTTTCTAATAATTTAATATTTTTCAATTATACTATTTTTTTAGGACAATACTAAAATTAATTAATAATAAACTCATATGACATGATACTTAGTAAAATGATCTAATCACATCTTAATATATAATCACATCTTAATATATTAAGTTAATGAACTCAATTTCAAAATCTTGAAATTATATATTGACTGTAGTACGAGTTAAGCTAGTAATTAATTAAATCGGGAGCATGAAAGTGTAACGATCGCGGAAATGAGAGTATAGTAAAAAGATGACACCGCCCACACGAGATTTTCAAAGAAATTTGATTCATAGAGTTGAACTTGATTTTGTATATTTTGTATAATCGGTACAATCTTAGATGTTTACTCCTTGATTCTTTCTCTTAGACATAAGCTCAACTTAAAGGTTGAAATGCTTGTTCTCGAATCAAGGAGATTGGAGCCTTTGCAGCTACTAACTTGTTTAAGGTCATCAGCTTATGGCTTGTTGATTTCTTTCGATCAAACTTTTGGTTTGTTGATCTCTTTGAATCGATCTTTTGGCTTGTTGATTTCATTGGTCTGACCTTACGACTTGTTGATCCATTTGGATCAATCTTTCTATTTGTCGATCTCTTTAGATCAAGTTTCCAGTTCGTAGATCTCTTTTGAACGATCTTTTGGACTTGTCGACCTCTATGGGATCAACAAGCTTTCAGATCTTCAAAGTTTCAAGTCTTCAAAATCTTTAGTCTTTAGAGTCTTCAATCTCCTAAATACTCTCCTGGTCTTCAAAGTCTTTAGTCTTCGAATTCTTCAATCTTCAAAGTCTTTTAGTCTTGAAGTGTTTGGTCTTCAGAGCCGTTGATTTTTAAGGTCTTCAAAGCGTTCGATCTTCATAGTCTTATATTTTCTAGGAGTCTTCTCTCGATTGTCTAACTTGGATCCCCTTAAAATTAAGGAT